ATGTCTCTTCTCATTCTTCCCTGTGTCTTATATCTATTAACCAGTACAATTAGTGGTAATTGAGAACAGAACGCTTGACCAGATTACACTAATACAAGCATAGCCTAACAAGTCTAATGCCTATAACTTCGTTGTGGCAACTCTCTCTCCGTGGAAAAGAGAGGTCTAGACTGAGAAAAATCACAAAGTCGCGTCGTGAGCGGTTGGGATCGTCTCTCGGAGTCACGCCGTCAAATCATAAGAAATGCAGACACAAAACAGAAATATAAAAAGAAAGAGGGGGAAAAGTAATGGTTAAAACAGAAAGATAAGAATGGTAACATGCAGATCCAAGAGGCCAGCTCTAGGGCACTTCTTTGTCTCCCCTCTTCAGCCCCCCAGGCACATCAATCGCGTCCTTCACCCATGGCAAGGACGCGATCTCGTCGAGACCCTTCCTCTTGGTATTACGTTTCAAGAGTCCCTCCACGCATTCTCGCGCGCCTTCCAGATCGCTGCCCTTGGCAGGATCCCACTCGCCGTCACTGTCCGCATACCGATACCAGGACCACTCCACCCGCGCGATGCGATGGGGGGTCCGTGCGCGCAATTTCGCCGGGTCGCCTCGAGTACCCGGCAAGGCGTCGAACGGCAGCCGGTTCTCCATCATCGCATACAGTAACACGCCCAACGCCCACGCGTCTGTTGACCGTCCATCATACGATTGGCCCATCAAGATCTCCGGCGCCGCATAATCCTCGCTGCCACATCGGGTTTGTAGGAGTGGGCTTTCCGGAGGCTCGGGTATCCGTCGGGATAGACCCAGGTCGCTAAGAGTCACGATAGCTCGATCGTATGTGCGCCAGTCGCTGATCGTATCCATCGCGGAGACAGGAAGATTGACAAGAACGTCTGCAAGTGAGAAGACAAGTTAGGCCTCGCACTATGTCTCAAGTCCGGAATACTCACTCTCTAACTTGATATCACGGTGCACAATGTAGTGCTCGTGTAGGTAGCGAACGGCCGCTACCAATTCGGCAAACATGCGACGAATCACGGGGGGGCTCAAAGGCCGGTTGCTGGAAGACGCCACATCGAAGAGGTCTCCACCCGGACAATAGTCTAGGACGAGCAGTGCGCGTTTCTCGTCGCTGCCAAAGGCTTTCAGCTGAACCAACGAAGGGTGATTGACGGATTTAAGGATCTCCACCTCGCGCTTGAGAGAAACTTCCAAGCGCTCTTCATCCGCGCCTCCCGCCGGTCCATACTCGATAATCTTGACCGCGACCAACTTCTGGGTCGCAAGATTTAAGTCCTGCAAGCTAGAGCCGTACTGTGTTGAATCGCTATCGCGTGCCTCCACGCGCACGGCCAAACTGACTTGACTGAACGTTCCATGACCAAGCTGACGAAGTTTGCGATATTTCCGGCGCTGCTGAGTGCGCACCGAACGCACCGAGTAAATCTCTTCCGCAGTGTCAGGAACAGGTGTAATAACAGGTCCACTGTCGTCTTCATCGAGCCCACTGCGGCTACTGCGTGGCGGACTTGGCGGGCGCACGGTCGGTAATGCAATTCCACGATGTACGGCCAAATATTGCTCCCGATGGAGGTTGTGCGCATTTGAGTCTGTGCTGGTGGAGGTGGAGATTCCCGGTGGCGCGCCGGTTCCCGAGACCACAATGGGTCGTGGTTTGACAGGGACACTTCGGCCCGGGGGGACATATTCGCTCAAACTGCGGTTGCGCGCGTGCTTGGGAGCGGATTCGGCCCGTGGTTTCGTCGGTGACTCGAGCGGCGATTCGTGCAATTTATCCGACAGAGTGTAATGTTTGTTTCGGCTTCGTGGTCGGGGTTCACAAGCGCCGAGCATGTGCGATGAATCGCTTAGTCGCAGGCTCAGATTTGAGCCCTTTCGTGAGACCGTCGAAGGGGTCCGGGAGAGAGATTGGGAATTGCGCCGGGGGTGTTTCCATGGCGACATGCCACTGATGGGCGACGGTAAAGGGGTGATGTCGCCCATTGCTACCAATTGTGGTGACGAGATTATAGAGGCCGGCGACAGTGAGCCTCCACTGTTGGGAGGCGCCGCGAAGAGACCGCGTAAGCTAGGTGTGCGACGGGGCAGACTGCTCGAGGAAAGGCTGTGGTGTATTAGGGTGTCAGCGTCCCTGGGAGGGCTCATTTGACTGAAGATTGGCAGGTCGGTACGTATTTGCAGCGAGGGCAGAGGGTGATGAGGGTTGTGCTGGGCAGTCGGGTCATGAAGGCGGTTCGACGGGGGCTGGAAACTATATAGAGGAGGGGAGTCGAGGCTCCCTTTGGCAGGGATTACTGAGGCATTCCGATCGAATTCATCGTTACTCGAGCCGGTTGATTTGCTGGCCTTGTGCGACTCGGATTGAGGCGCCGTTGCAGATCCTGACCTCTCGGTCGGTGGAAAGCAGTCTGAGTAGACCATCGGACGTGTTTAATTGGAGACTTCGGTTTGAGATCTATGGTTTTGTTCGAATTGTGGTTCTGAATCAATCGCCCGAGCGGGAGTTGCGACGGCGCGCAATGGCAGTACTAGAATTGCGGGTAAGGTCGGGGCTGCCCAGAAAAGAAAAATCCCTCGGATCAAGCTTAAGCAAAGCCCGTCGTCGAATTTGGCACTAGAGCTCGGGAGGATACCGCTTAGATAGGACAAAGTCAAAAGAAGGTATTGTAGGTATTGTTCTAGAAGACAAAAGGACAATCAAATGAGTAAGAAGAATAGGAAGAATAGAATAGGTGTGAGTGGAATAGGAGGGGGAGAGTGGAGAGAATGAAAGAGAGAGGAAATGAGGGAAGAGAGAGTAAAGGGAAATAAGAAGAGGGGGCTTGGGGCGGGGAACGGGAATAGGAAAGTCTTCTGAGCCTGGTAGGACAAGTGAGAGCAAGAGTATGAGCAAGAAAGAGCAAGCGCAAGCGCAAGCAAGTTAGAGAAGGGCAAGAGGCAGCAAGCAGGAAGAAAAAGAAGAAGAAGAAGCAAGTAAGGTAGGTAGGTAAGTAAGCAAGCAGCCAGCCCCAGCAAGCATGAAAGCAAGCAAGCAAGCTGGAAGTAAGCAAGAGCGCGCAAGCAAGCTCTAATAAGAAGCGGAGAATCTCGTTTCAGTCGATGATGATGACGCTGCCCTGCAACGGAACGAAAAATCCACGCGGGGGTCAGCTGATAACACTTGCCTGCTTTTAGCCTAGCTCGCACAAGTCTAGTATCCACGAGGAAAGACGCTACCCCGCATCAAGTAATACCGTTGGCGGAAGGTCCAGAAGGAGGATCGGATCTTGCCTGTTCAAGTAAAGGAACTCGAAGAGTTCAGAGACAAGTCCGGTGAATTGACCCTATCTATCATTTTTTCCTGAGTCAAGGACCAAGGGCCAGCCACTTAACTTATCTACTCCGTAGCTCGGTCCGGACTGTTTGCGACGGCCGCGGCATAGAAGATAAGTCGAGCTTACTCCGTCGATAGATTGATAGATCAAAAAATCCATTATTTCTCTCTCTCTCTCTTTCACTATCTGGATGGCGACCCAGTAACGATTTCACTTTTCGTACAAGGTTCAAGGCTCCAATGTGAAGCATTCACCCCACAACTCCGAAGTCGCCCTCAGCTTTTACCTAACCTGGAAACAATCCAGAGTTTCAAGGTTCCTCGTCATGTGCCTTGCATCGCCTAAATCAATTGCGGAGAATGAATCGCTTGAGCTTCCTTTTCCTTATCTAGGTCTTAATAACAACCCTCTCTAACCGGAAAAGTGTCAATAGCAGATTCCAAAATGGGAGGGCGTTTTCAAACCTGCCACGCTGGACGTCGTCCGGACTATGCGACGAATGGATGCATCGCCGCTTTACCTGTCATTACAGTGGCGATCTGGCAGATCGTGATACCGACGGATAATGCAGAGAAATCTCCGTGAAGATGCACTGTCAATACCGTACAGGGCATCAACATAAACAAATGCCCTACCTGCACATCGCACTGACATCTCTCTTCTCGCGCAATTGGCCGCGGAAGTCTATCGACCTTGCTCTCCTTAATCTGGCCGGTCGCAGCCCGTTTACTTACCGCGGGACCAGCTCAAACTCATTTAACTAGTGGACAGCAATAATACCCTCATTTTATTACTTTTCAGTCCAAGGTCATTTGACGCACTGTGCACATCATCATCGGCGGCCACGCTACCTTAGCGTCGGCACTAAGTTGTAGACTTTGACCAGTGGGAAAGGTGGAAGCAATCGCCTCCCCCCTGCTCTGCGTTTCCTTATCCCGTTTCAGAGTCATGGAGCCGATCCTCCTGCAGTGCTGCCAGGCTACGTAAGCCAACAGAAGGGGAAGGCGGTTTCCTGCTCAACAGGCTTCACCTTCTCGCATCGAAGATTTGGACTGCAGACTTTTCACGGTCGCTTTCTCCTTCAGAGCAATTTTTATGGAGCATCTTCATGGCTCCCAGCTACTTGAGTATGTATACTCTACAGTAAGCCATCCAACCAGGGCACTACTGTAGTACTACGATGATGCCGGCGCTTTCTTCAATTAGCAAAACGTGTCGGATGCAAACAGCGATTGTTCGAGAAAGGCGTCCCTATTAACAGCCAAGAACACATTGACTTCCCCGGCAACAAGAGAAAAGATAAAGAAGAAAGGTTATGCTTCGATGCCTGCATTGTGCTGAGGTACTGCAAACAGAAGAAGTTGATGTAAAGTCAATGCAGAGCAGCGGTGGAGCCTTAAGGACAGTCAGTACCACTCAGAATGAGTCAACATGCGTCACTCTGAGTTACCCCACATCAGTGTAACCAGCTCTACTGTGAAGAATCCTTAGGTACTGTACTGTGTACAAAACTATGAAAAGCGACCTGGGGTAAGAAGTATATAAACATATCCCAATCATCACTATCAGGCTATCGACCTCCTCAAAGACATCAAATCCAGCCCATAGACGCAAAGGCGCGAATTCCTTCTATCAATCCATTCTCAACAATCACCATTTCGCGCAAAATGCCACTAACCACCACCACGACGACTACCACAACAACCACCCCCACCACCCCTCTAATCTTCTACGACATCGCCACACGCCCTCCTGCCGCGAAGAACGCCTGCTCCCCGAACCCCTGGAAGACCCGATTCGCGCTCAACTTCAAGAAATTGCCCTACCAGACCACCTGGGTGCCGCTGCCGGAGGTGGCCAGCGTGCGCCAGAGCCTGAACGTGCCGGCGTGCCGCCAATTCGCCGACGGCAGCGACTTCTACACCCTTCCGATCCTCCACGACCCCAACACCTCCGCCCTCGTCGGGGACTCCTTCGACATCGCCACCTACCTCCAAACCACCTACCCAACCGCCGGCGACGGCGACCTCTTCCCCGCGCAACCCCTGGACTACACCTTCCCGCTCGACCCGCCGCCCATCGTCCCGCTCTCCGAGTGCAACGCCAAGAACAACCCGGCGCTGGCCGCGTACGCCCGGTTCAACGTGCACGTCGACGCGGCGTTCACGGCGCACGTCCAGCTCACCGTGCAGGGGTTTCCCTTCGACCCGGCCACCGAGGCGACGGCCAAGGCGGAGTTCGTGCGGCGGGCGGTGCTGGCGGGTGCGCCGGTGTCGAGCTGGGAGGACTTCAAGTGCGAGGGCGAGTATCGCCAGAACTTGATCACGTCGTTCGAAAAGACGCTGGGGGAGTTGGCCAAGTTGTTCGTGAAGGAGAACCCGGGGGGCGGCCCGTATGTGCTGGGGCATCGCGCGTGTTATGCGGATTTCTTGGTGGGCGCGTGGTTGCGCATGTTCAGTGTCATGTTGCCCGAGGAGGAGTGGGCGTTGATTAAGGGGTGGCATGGGGGTGTCTTTGGGCGGTTGCATGATGCGTTGGAGGTTTATGCGGTGGTGAAATAGGTACCTAGGGTTGGTCTGGAACTGGGTTGGGTTGGAGTATGGGTGTTATGGTTCCAGGTTGGGGGGGTATACTAATGAACGATCTGTCTAGCTAGCACTGTTGTAATCGGGTGGCTTGAGAAGGGCATCTGGGAGATGCTTAGCCGGTGTTAGGAAATACGAAAGTGGAATTGATAGTAACGAAATGAAATGACTTCTTGCAAGAATTCGGGAAGGAAGAACGATCTATGAGGGCTCGAATATTAGGGCGGATGATATCGCGCTACCCTTCGGAGTCCTTATAGTAGGCAGTCAGGGCATGGTAACTTTGCTTGTTGACTCGACTACGGAGTAGCGCAAATGGAGTAGGTGACTAACCATGACCATACTTGGATACAATCATGCACCATCGACTTGATCCCTTCGGAGTTCAGACCCTTCACACAGGGTCATTCTTATCGTGTAAAATGGCGAGACGACCCCGAACCTCGAATTGCGCTAAAGATTGCCCTGGATCGGACAGAATCAGGATACAATCACAACCGGGCTTATCAGCGATAAGCTTCGGTCGGGGCCTGGGCGCTAACAACCCCACTGTACCGATTACTCTACTGTAGGCTATGCCGGGAGTCAGACCACGATTGATATCATCCTTGCCTTAAAGTCTCATATCTTCATAGCCGTCGGAGGTCGCTTTATGATGCATTTGTAAGATTCAAAAGAGGAAGTCTCACTGTACGCGAGTCAGGATGTCTATCTTGGAATTAATCTGCACGATTTGGCAGCACAGAGCTACTGCCGTGATTTCGGCTATTTATTCCCCTGGTGATGACACTGCATGCATCACGCATTGTGGCTTGCTGTCTTTCTTTTTTTTTCCCCCTTATTCTTTTAGTTTTCTTAGTTAACCTCCCCCTCTTTTCCGGGAAATTACCTTAGACTGCTTTTATTAGCACGCCGTCTATGGATATTTCCGAATGTCGTGTTGTCTCTTACAAATACCCTCAAGGAGAGGCCTCCAGTCTAGACTCAGGTTGCTATCTAGAATCATCGAGCATCATCTAAAACCATGTCTGCTCTAATGTATACAGTATATGCCATTCGACGGTCAAACTTATCATCCATCCACCGATACGAAATGAGTCGGAACTAGTATACAGCCGGACCTGATCGATTTAACGCGGCGATGGCCTGCTCGATCGTGATGACGTCGATAGGATTGCCTGGCAGAATGCCCTGCAGGATTGTCTGCTGAATCTGGGACGCGTAGGTCGAGGGAGTCTCGATGGTATTGTTCGAAATAACATATCTAGAGCGGAGGCGATCAGCCACCTTATCGTCACCCGACGCGGAACGCAAGCGGACTTACACCTTGTAATTGAGATCAAAGAGACGAAGAGCGGTGTTCAACACCACCCCCGACGTGCGAATCCCAGACTAGAAAATCGGACCAACGCGTTAGTTCTACCCGATCAAATCAACAAATCAAAACAGAAAGATCATGGTCGATCCGGCACCACAAGCACTAATGAAGCACTAGCCGGAGCGCTAAAATAGGGAAGGTCCACCTCTCCGATCGATTTCCTTTCGAGACTAGAGGAAACCGGAATCACTCACCAAAATCACCGTGTCGATCTTCTGGCTCGCGAGGATCTCCTCTAGCGAATTGCCTGCACCGGCGTAGTACCGCATCTTCTGCAACACCACGTCCCAGTCATCTAGAGGCCGGAAAGCAGGGTAGATCTGTCCCTCGGGGCTCGACTCAGTGATGTTGCCGAGCAGGGACACAGCCTCTGCAAAAGGGTCGTTGGCGCTGATTTCGGGTCGCTGCGTGTTGGCGAAGTAGATCCGAGTGAAGATGCTCAAGGGTGGAGGCGACTGCTTGTGAACGCTGCTGGCTGTCAGCTCTGCCTACACACTGCACAGTGCTCGTCGTGGCTTCTCTCAGCACCCGAGATAGTCCATAAATGAAAGTACAACTCACGCGTCAATCCACCGCGCCGTGTTATTGATCCAGCTCGCCCCCGCGGTAGTAGTGTTCACATACGAGACCACAATATCGATCAGGTCGAGATTCAACACCGCGTAATTTTCTCCGAACGAGAGTGAGTCCCCGCTGACGGTCGAAGGGATGTTCCATGAGTAACCGGGACTGGTTGTGGCCGTGAAGGCTCCTGCCGCGAAGAGGGCCAGAGAGGTGAGCGTGTGTTTGAGCATGATTGTTGCGATTGAACGGCGGTCCGAGTGCAATGAGCGGGAAGGATTTCAGGTCAACACAAAATAAGTGACCGAATGCGCATCGAGGGGTATTTAGCTGGACAGTTCGCTGGGCTTTTTCTACGCATCATGTTCCCGACTTTCTCCACCTTGCTCACATCATTCAATACTATTTCCTGACAAGCATTAGTGGGTATTGTTGGTTCCAATCGGGGGAACCACATGGGCTCGAGGCGTTCGTGCGGAGGGGACTAAGTTTCGGAGCGATCCCAATCGATACGAGCTGAAGAATGGAGCAGATGGGGTTGGTCACCGCTCTTTCATGGGGATTCTGGCTCACATAGTCGGTGAGATTGTCGCATTCGCAGTGCTAACGCTTAAGCCCGAGTTATTCGTGCCTCGGAGGTCTGTCGCCATTGTGCTGGATGGGATATGGTAGGGTATTGCAGATCATCGCGGCGGGTGGGACTGGAAAATGCTTAGCGTTTTGTGACCAAGTCCAAGCCAGCCAGCCGCCTTCGACCGACAGCCTCGGACATTGCATGTCTGGACGGAGAAATTGCGCTCGAATAGTTTGACTCAAGTGAGATGGCCATGTGGTCAACCGTGTCTGTATGACGTCTCATTTTGACACATGCAGTGGCCGGATAAGCCTTGTACGTTGCCCATGAGCATCCATGAATGTCCAGGGAGCTTAGCTCTCGCAGTGCATGACTGCCATTGACAGCTGCTCCGGTGGCAGACATTCTCCGTGTAATAAGAGCAATTTCTCTTGAGGAGAATTGGCCGAGCCTTTGTCGCTGAATGGGTATCCTGTCGTCCACTTAGTCCTACCTTTACTATTGGAGGCTTTATGCTCCCCTGTGGCGAAAAGCTTGAATAAATTGCTGGGTTCCTGTGTTATGTGTAGCAGGGAAGTGGCTTGAGTGAACGAAACCAGAAATTTGATGCAGCAGAAAACACACAGAATTTCATTGCTATTCTAAACAATCAATTACTAAGGTCGACGTTGATACACTTCAAATAACTCGACTAACACAAACAATGTGACAAGAGCTGCCAAGGTGTCCCATGAATGTCGGACCATGGAAAGATGCATCCATGCTGCATCGGTCTGAATAAACTTTACCCGGCCTCTCCACTTAAGCCTTGGATCGACCTTTCATCGACCCCGTCTTCAATCCTTAACCGCCAGACCCGCTCTCATCTCTCACACCACACCACTATTCAAAGACAGATCAACGAATCTATTTAAAGCCAGACAAAGTCACAACTCCATGGTGGCTATGTCCCGTCGATATCAATAGCCAAAAGGCAAAGGATACGCCGGGCTATGCCAGGCTATACCTCTTGGCAGATGCTAAGCGAAGGCAATGTCCGGGTCTGTCGCCTCACCCAACAACTACAGATCCTAGACTAGGGGATCTGGGAAAAGTCATATCCTCGATATCTTGGCAAAGAAGAAAAGCTTTGATGCCAAGGAGCCCGGCTCGCTATTCCTTCCTGTTTGTGAGGTGGCTTCTGCTGTTGAACAGGCCGTAACCTGTTGGAGTAGTGTGCCATGCATGGCGGAGTCTTCCGACGGATAATGAGCGTCAATGGCACATTCTCGTTGATCGAGAAGAGCCTGTTTGTCGACAAATTGCTTGGACATCGTTCCTGCATTTCAGGCTGCAGACCCTACGGTGTAGATCAGGACGCTGGCGCCCTCGAAGCCTTGTACATGTTCCCGAATGAGGCTACGCCTGACCGGTCGCTATATGCCCTGTCCCTGCATGCTCAACTAGCTAATAGAATAAGGGCAAGATAGTTGTCAATGCTCATCGATCGAAGCAAACGACGCGTCATCTGAAACCTGCGTATCTGCTAATACCACTATAAGTGCCCCAAGGATATGAAGTAGCTTCGGCACAGCCATCATACAGCCTATAGTCCTCGACTGAACAACCAGCCAACTGCATTGAGACGGGATCGGCTGGAATCGCCGACCCATAATTAGCAGAAATGGATACACCCTGGCGGCCACTGGTCCCTTGGACCAGACGGCGGGTCTCCCAGTGGAGTATAGGCAGGCATGTGTGTCCATCAGGGGGCCAGTCGTAGCGGTCAGCCCCCTCCCTGCCAGTAATCTTCCGCTTAGCCATCAATCCATGGCTAAGGATTCTACAGCAGTCCCTGGTCTGGAATTCAGGCAGCTGCATAGAGCCCTCTCCTCCTTATAAGTACCCTGCGCAACACTGAATAACCCTGACCAGACCACTCCACAATCGTTCAACCAACTGATTCATTCAATTCAAACACGCGTTCATTCTATACCTACCTACCTGAGAGTCCAATCATCATTTCACAAGACAACAATCGACACTCCCATTCATTCATTCAAGGAAAATGTCTCTCACAACCACCGCCACCACAACCGCGGCCTCCGCCACCTCGACCTGCCACCAGCAGCTCTACGAGATCCCCATCAAGGACGCCGCCTGCGCCATGCCCAGCACCGGCAACAACTCCGCCATCATGAGCAGCTGCTGCGGCGCCGCCGACGTCGTCTCCTACAGCAGCTGCGACTACTACTGTCTCGCCCAGGACCAGACCGTCCACACCCTGGCCGAGTGCCTCATCAAGGCCTCCGAGGCCGGCGAGGTCTGGTGCAACACCGGCGCCAACGCGACCGCCACGGGCACCGTCCCGGCCACCGGGGCCGGGACCATCGTGGCGACGGCGTCGGCGACGTCGTCTTCCTCCACGAAGAAGGGGAAGAGCTCCGGGACCGCGACGGGGTCGAGTGCGTCGAGCAGCTCGACTAGTGGGGGGAATGTGGCTGTTGGTGTGAGTAAGAAGGCCGTGGGAGTGATTGCGTTGTTGGTTGCTGGGGTTGTTGGGGGTGGACTGTTGTAAGGAGGGAGTTGCTTGGGTAGATGAGGTGGTATATTATTTGAAGATGGGGAGAGGTTGATTTGATGATGCGGATGGGGTGGCGGATAACAGGGAGGTTGGGCATGATGGTATTCTTTGTGTTGCTGTATTGTACAGTTCGTTCCTATAAGAGGTTGTGCGAGCAATCAATAATTGCAGCCACAGGAGGTCAATTGAGAACTTGGGGTTCCAGAATTTGAGAAATGGTAGATTAACATTCACATCTCTCGAACTTAAGATAATGGCACAAGTACCTCAAATCTTGCATGCGAGAAGATACGCATGATGACTTTATAGTTTCCTGCTTGTGCGCAATTGGGCCCTCATGTTGTCCGGACAAAGAAGAAACCATGAACACGGCGTATAGAAGACGAGCCAATGACTGCGATGAATTAGGCTTCAATTCAAGTTCCATTCTTGACACACCATCGTCGTTCTTAAGTCGCCTGGAGAGCGATCACTGGCTTGAACCACGAATACAGTGGGCTGATCTAACCTCTATGCACCAAGTAACTAGATGTCATTTGTAGACAGTAACTAATTTATAGTATACGGCTATTGTTCGCAGGCAAGCAAGGGCCAAGGACGTAAGCAGAATAGGTCTTCTTGATCGCGGCTAACTAGGAAATCAGATATAACTTTTGTGTGACTTCTCTGATAGCGATTGACCCCAAATCTAGGCACAGACCTTATGGACCTACTCGAGATCTTCGAGCCTGGGCGGCGTGCTCTGCTGTCTCCCGCCTGTGCTGCAAGGTGGGGCGACTGAGCCCTACAGATTTTGGTGCTATAAGAAACAGATAACTTGAGGAGGGAGAGTGATTTTGTATCCTTAGTATAACGACGATGATCAACTACATTAGAGGATAAAATGTGCGGGACACTCCGTACCGGCCCGAAAATAAAAGCCATGGTCTGGTAAAATCACGTGTAAGGGGCCCAGCCTGAAAACATCCAAGGCTCCCAGAAGGATCTCAGACTTGTACCCGCGGTTACTGCTGTATATGTTTTAGACACAACGAGGCCTTCTCAGATCCTTATATTCCACAGTCGGATTTTTTTTGCAGATCACGTACTGCAAGACTTCCCGGATGCACTCATAATGTCCTCGAGTCAAAAAGGGTCTCCCTCTTCGCCATGCGCCATTCGTTGGGCGCATCCAACACAGTCAATGACAGCAAAATCTACCGGTGTTTGACACTTTTGGCGATCAAAAGCTTCAAGTGCTTTAGACCTCGAGAGGGAAATGTTCTCATGTTAACGAATAGTATATGTGTCAAGTACGGTCGGCTAAAGCATCAGCAATGCGATTCATCTCGCAAAATACATCCATCCCGGTTCCAAAGATCTTCTGCGCATTCACACGTTCCGGGGTGACTTACATTGTGATGAAAAGGATCAAAGGCGATATTATTGGCAACGGCTGGGTAAGACGAAGTGAGGAATCAAAAGCCAAGCTTCTCTCAGCTCTAGCAAAAACGATTCGTGAGATGCGGGATCTCCGGCCCCCCGAAGGCATGGGGGTTGCTTCAGTTGATGGTGGATCGTTACATGACTGCCGTATATCAGGCCCTTCTTTGGATTTTGGGCCTTTTGCCACAATTCAGGACTTTCATCGTCATCTACGAATGGGATTGGAGTTTAACTCTAAACTTCACGTCGATGCCCAGGAACTTATCAAACAACAGCAAAGCAAATCTTAGCCGTTGACCTTTACTCATGGTGACCTCAGCAGCCTTAATATTCTTGTTCGCGAAGACGATATCGTTGGCATCATTGACTGGGAGACTGCTGGTTGGCATCCGTCATATTGGGAATACACTTCTGCCGACCAGGTCAACCCCCAGAACTCCTTTTGGGTCCATGAGATTGACAAATTCCTGGAGGCAATGCCTGAAGAACTGGCTATGGAACGACTCCGTCAGAAATGGTTTGGAGACGTCTAGAGTCATCTTGGATCGTGCGTTATGCAATGATCTTCTTTTCCCCTCCATCAAGTCATAGGTTGGAGCCTTCCGCATGTTAAACTCGCCCTGGCCATCAAAACGGTGCTGGTCTTTCTTCAGCTGACAATACCTCATTGCCTCATTGCGCACCTTCAGCCAGTCCACAGCGCTTGTGCCTAAAGCCTTGGGGTCGAGTTTAAGCGTTTCCAAAGCCTCCTTTACCCGAAACACAATTCCAACCTGGTTGACCCTGCCGGCTAGGATTATGCCGCAGGATCTCTCTTCAGACGGTTGCCATCCGCCACCTTGCCTACCATGATACGCACAAGTAACATGCTGGTAGGAGTAAGCTCACACGGGCGCTCCTCGAATAGCCATTCAGACCCCCCCACCCGCACCCACTCTCTCCTTTGCATGGTAACGAAGACCCGTGCCATCATCTTTTTCCACCTTTGGCCCCACAAGCAAAGCCCAGTGATATCTAGCTTGGACAGAACATATGAATGGAGATACGTACGAGATTGAGACTCTGCTTAGTCGACGTCTCAGAAACGGTAATTCGAGTACTTGGTGAAGTGGCTCGGGTACGCCGATGAACACAACATGTGGTATAAAAAAAAAGATCTGAAGGACGCGAAGCGGTTAGTCGAAGAGTATAATTAACATCATCCTCGACCGACTGGTGGCCTTAATTTAGAAAGGCTGACACGTGTCACGCGCGTTCCAGAACGCGGTCGAGGTTGCTTGAACTTGCGACAGTAACCATTTACTTCGCCGTTACTACACAACATTATAATATACTTTTCTTCTTATACCCGTTCTTTTTTTGCTTTTCTTCAACCGACCATCCCCTCCAATACTACTTACTATTCTCTTCTCGAAGGGGGGGGCGCTGATTTCGGCTCCCTAAAGTGTGTACCTAATGTACTGTAAGTTGGCGATAAATCGTGTAGTAGGTCGAGTACAATCTCCCTCCCTGGCAGATACTTTATCCGTCTATGGAATTTAATCTTGCAATGGAGATCTCTGAACTGGACACAACCACGAACTTGGTCGAATTCTGACCTATATTTTATCAATTCATAAGCGAATCATAAGTGCTGGGTAAGTCGTTCAAGACGAAGTAAGTCTGTAGACATTGTATCTCACCCGTTAGCTTGAACCTCTCTCTTTCACCGCCTGTCCCGCCGTGGTGTATATCCCCTCGGTTGTAACCCATTGTTTCCTCCTGCGGTTCAGTTCATCCCTTCACCTATCCACCCTTCGAGGACAGCTCCCTCTATGGCACTTAAAGCTCCGCTATGTCGATGGACACCGGCGACTCGGGACTTCGATTGGCTGCTAGCAATTTGAACCAGCATAGGAATATTTTAAGCGCAAATCCATTCGATAACAGTGATGAATCAAGTAGTGACAGCGACGTGACTTGGTCCCCAGGTGACGGCGTCTGCCCGACAGCAGCACATTTCAATCATTGCTGCCAGTCAAAGATCAACGACTGGCAAAACGCCGCATCTACACGCCTAGAAGGCACAGAGTCTCTCCATTCCTACATAACAGCTTTCTTAGACCTCCTCAAAGATGTCCCTTCGTTCTATGCCTGTCCCCCAGGGGCTGTTCAACTGTCAGGAAGAGCAAGATCTTTCCTTGTTCTGAAGTCTTCTCTGCAAATGAGAACGACAGAAGACTCGAACTGCGAGCAAGATCACAAGTTCATCGATTATCTCCAGTGCTTCGGAAGCCCCGCACCTGTATTTTATAGGACGAAAGCTGAGACCCAACCAGAAGTATCTATTCCTACTTGTGCCAAGCCTCTTCGCGCTGGGTATCTTACAAGCATTGTTCTGGCCTGGTCATACATCATCCCCTGCCGTTGGGTGGAGATATTACAAAGGGCAGGTGAGAACAGCCAAATCCTGCATGATCAAGGCATGCAGATGGAAGAATCCTTCTGGGACATGGTCACGCAGGATTGTTGGGAAGCTCGAGTTGAAAATCAGAACGGCGCCTTCTATTCGCCATGGATGTTTCGGAGACAAGGGGCCTCACGCAAGCGGTATGTTTGTTGTGTTGATCTTGGTTCTTGTCGGCTAACAAATCTCTGAAGCCGGAACTGGGAGCCTGCCATACCGAATTCTCTTCTTGCATTCCATATTCTTATAGACTTTTGCGTGTCAGAAGGTTTGCAGGGAGAACTGCTCATCGGATTTGTCTCTGTTTTGATGTCAACCTCACGTCACGCACCCTCACCTAAGCTCGCTCCTCCTATAGATATCTCAACTGCTCGCTTACAATCTCTACCGAGACCGCAAGGCAGTGTCATTTATGAACTCTATGGATGCATCGGATAAATGTTTGTCCCTTAGCTCTACACAGGATGCACTGGATTCGTTGCTCTGCAGCGCATTTTTCGATCCATGCGTTCCATGCAATCTCGTTGGGGCTGCGTCTCTGGGAGTGAGAAAGGCTCTCTCACAAATGGACGAAATTGACAACCGGCAGCTGCTACTTGCGATCACCAATATGAACCCTCACTTAAGCCTTTTATGGGCTGCTGCAGTATGCAACGACCAGGCAACTTCGTTCCTGAACCTGGCCCTTCACAGTCTTCCGCCTATATGTCTAGTAGCTGCCTTCTGGACCAACACGACCCAGTCCTTTCTTCAGATAGCGTATAATGCAGGGGACTTAGAAGGTTCTATTGTTCCCAGAGCAAAGGAGTTTCAGACTTCCTATTTTTGCCGACCAAACTTACCAGTGCCCTGGTCGCCTGCACCTCCCTTTGGCACAACAACCGTCGAAAATCTCAGCCTGGAGGTAAGGGCACACCTTGAACATATGCACGTACCTATCTCTTGGAGGAACTATTGGGCATTGGACTCGGGAGAAAGAATTCCGGCAGGCCCGCAGAAAGAATCTACGAGGGTGGAGGCTGACATTTTATGTCATTCCCACTCTGTAAGTGATACTACTAAGTACGTACAGCGGGAGATTCATCACTGGGGAAATAATGCTGACATTCAAGTCTGCCTACTCCGAGCGGCGCCTTGCTGATGAACAATCAGCGGTTGCAACATCGCGCTTATTCAATTGGCATAGAGGTTACGACGACGGCATCTGGCTCGATGATGGTAAAGCGAACATTGAAGGCGTTCGTCGACTTCAGATGCATCCATGGATTATTGACCAGTTCGACGACCAAGGCGATGAGCCAGTTGAGGAACCTATACACCGTGGGGTCTCTGTTGAGCGTATCCTGCGGTGGAAGGATGAGGTCGAAATGCATGCAAATGAGCAACTATAAGTATCTGAGCATCGAGACCTTAAAAGGCAAGACCCATCAATCTTTCGACGCTCTTCAAAAAGCTCTTGGATCGCTGACTGCAGGCCCGGCTCGGATTATAGTCAACTCCGCTGCAGGGGGTACTTATTGGACGTGTTCCTCCCTACCGGAGACTCGTATACTCCTACTGTAGCCCAGGCTGCACCATCTGAATGGACTTCGATGATATCAACCTCACCGCTGTCGACAATTTGAGACTGGATTGGATCAAACTGGCTTCCAAATCAGGGGCCGGAATCTGCGAACTCGCGAATCGCTATCGACAACGGGATGATTGTATGCTACATTCCATGCATTGCGGGTCTTTCAACTTCAGCTTCCGACTTAACTGGGACGATCAGGATGAGGACTGGTTGATTCGATTTCCCCTCCCTGGGAAATCCATGTTTCTGGACGAGAAGGTTCGTAGGGAGGCGTTCGTTATGAATTACATTGCGAAAGAGACCAAGATTCCTGTGCCGCGGGTCATCGCTCATGGCACTAGCGACGAGAATTCAACTGGCCTGGGTCCTTTTATCATAATGACCTGGATTGAGGGCAGGAAAATGTCGGACATACTAAGACAAGACGATCTCTCCGACAAGCATGACGTTCTGGATCCCGCTATCGACCCAGAGACGCTCAAGACTCTGTATGGAGAAATGGCAGAAGTACTGCTGCAGCGCTGGGGACTCGACTTCAGTAAGATTGGCAGCATAAATGAAGACCATCTGGGGAAGACGATTGTTGATGGGCGACCCCTGACTCGGGAGCTGAACGAGTTGATAAGAATTAGTGGATTGAAGGACTGCACACCACAAAGAACCTTCCATACATCTATCGACTACATCGCATCACTCTTAGAACTGCAGTCAACTCATCTCGAACAACAGCGAAACAGTGTGTACGACTCCCAAGACTGCAGGAGAAATATGCCTGCCGAGAATTGATGAAGGCCATCGCTCTGAACTTCATCCCCAAGGACGACTGCGGCCCCTTCAAGCTGTTTTGCGATGATCTCTGCCCCGGGAATGTTCTTGTAGACGACTCACTGCGGATTGTGGGCGTCTTGGACTGGGAATTTACCTACGCGGCGCCTTCTCAATTCGCGGCCAGCATTCCGTGGTGGTTGCTCTTACGCCGGCCACATTCGCTAGTCAACCAAGACGGGCCCGATGTCTTCTTGCAATCCTTTCTCCTGAAAGCAAACATATTCTTGGAAGCACTGGAAGAGCGAGAACGGACTCGGGCATTGACCAAATCAGACGACCGCCTGTCAGTTCGAATGCGCCGGTCCCTCGAAGACAGATCTGCGTGGTTCACGTTGGCATTGCACATGGGAGCTTCCGTAGATCTCATATATTGGGATCTACTCGATGAATATTGCTGGGGCCCGAGATCAAGCATCGCACACAGGGTCCATGCGGTCACCACATTGCCGGAGATGCACAAGCGACGGGAGGATTTCGTGCGCGAGAAAATCCGGCAACTTCGGGCATACTACAAGGAGCTTGGGAGGGATGATGAGGTGGAATATGAGCCAGAGCTACCTCTCGCGCAGGTCGTTGAGGGTGGCCCTGCGCCACAGGTACGACTTCCACCCTTTTCTAGTGTGACGAGTGGACTGATCGTCATAGTCTCAGCAAGCGAGTGGTATCGCAAATGGAGGGCTTCTGGAGGGAGTTCTTGCCGGATTGGCTGTTGGGTTGGGCTTCACGATCTTTGTCAAGTGGTATCGGTCATAGCTACCTAGTATGCACTGATTCATGGGGGCATTGCCATTGCTCAGCCGCGATGTGGTCCAATGGGTAACCTCCATAGAATCTTCGATGGCTGCCGAGATCGCGGTCAGTATGCTCCAATTAGGCAGTACACATTGTATACCTATACAGTTCCGCTGCATCAATCTGCTGCCCTCGGTCCCGTCATAGCAGCCGACAACGCGGTCATCAACACAGAGGCTCGACAGCCGCCTGGGTGCGGTCCCCAGTTCCGCAGTGAACAATCTCGAGCACATGAAAGTCTTCATCTACAATGATCTTGCTGGATCTAGTTTCAAGGAGTTGACGATATACGAGCAGGCTGTGTGCGTAAATACACCGCTGGCTTGAAGAACAAGAAATAAAAGGCCTATGGGCTTGTGGCTAGCATGATGCGAATTGTGTCGATTACTCGCTGCTCAAGTTGGTGGATACGCAGGGAGATTTTGTTCATTGTTGATTCTAAATACATTTTCATCATAGGCGCTGTTGGATCAAGCCTTTGGGTCGTTCTATCATCCGAACAACCGTTCGCGCCAACCCTTCTTCCAAGACCCTCCGAACCGATGGTTCAGACAAGCATGTGGACTGTTAAATCCCTCGGCCTTGCTGTGCCGCTGCCCGTTCCCCCACACACTGATCGGCACCACGCAAAGCCCGCCCATAGGCGTCTCGGGAACGGCTTCACTGGCATCAACGCACAGAGGCTCATGGAGATCATGGAAGGGCGCCCAGGTGACTCTTCTCTCCATCTTGCCAGCAGGAGCTACCAAATCGCCGGTATCCTGATCCATGCCCACAGACTTCTGGACAAACGGATGGGAGCCGGGCAGCGATGCGGAGAGGGCGTCGAGAATCGCGTCCGTGAGAACATCCGGGCCCGTGATCCCCAGGATGGCGTTCTTGTCATAACTGAATCTGTTGAGAAATCCACTGTGCTGACGGTAGTATTGCCGGGTGTGCGACAAGCATCGAACAATGATCTCTCGGAGCAGAGGGCTGAATCGGCGCGGGGCGTACATCGTATACTGGATCAGTCCGTAGCTTCGGGTCCAGCGCCAATAGCTCATGGTTTGTGGGGAGGCATAGGGCTCGTCCAGTTCCACTCCTACCACAAGCGACACGTTGGCTGAGTCTATTGAGGCATCCATTGAAAGTTTGGGTATCGATTGTAGAGCTGGACATTCATTGATGGGTCGCGCTGGGTAGATGTCCATGTCGGCATAGAAGCCCCCGTGGTAGTAGAGAAGAAGGTAGCGGAGAAGGTCGGCTCGGAGGACGTGATAGGGATACGACTCGTAGATCTGGGCAATCTCTGGAACAGCGGAGAACGTTTCGGCGACAAATTTGGATGCCTTCGCATCGCTCATCAACTGAGAGGCATAACTTTAGCTGGATACGATACATATGAACGTGAGGCTTGACGGAGTGCTTACAGTGTACCCCCAGCCAGGGTTTCTCTCCTGAAGATAAGCCGAATCCGGTCCTCGTTGGCTGTCGTCCTTGGCTATCTGCCATATCCTGTCTTCCGCCACATTGTTCCCTCCCTGCTGATCTAGCACAGTGTGTTCTAGCTCCTGCAGAGCGTTGGCGAGCTTTCTCTCATACTCCAGGTCCGGATTGTGTCGAAAGGGGGAGACATATAGGAATCGACCCCCATTTTCGCCTCGACCGTGATCCCTGACCACCTGTTGGTTCGCATAAAGGTCAAGACCAGGAAGGCGAGAACAAAGGAGCCAGACCGCAATGACTAAGGCGAGGAACGTCAATCGGCGCGAAGACACATATGTGAAGAGCAAACTGGTAAATCTTATAAGACCCATCGTGGTGAGACGGGGAAACCCTTCGAGTGACTGCCATGGCTGGTCTTATAACAGGGGTTTTCAGTTCATGGCCCAGCGAATGAAGGATTGAGACGGGGCCAAGCGCCATCCGGCACCAGAAGTATTGCGAGGATGGATCAGGGTCCAAGGTGCGGAGTAGTGGCCTCATAGCCTCACAGGCTCCACGGCCAAGGCGGCCCACTTAGGGCATCTTCAATGCTGGCGATCGACCGACGCTGGAGAAATGCACGTTGCACTGCCAGCCTTGGTTGGTATTGATAGATCGAGAAGCTTAAAGTCTCCAGAAGTAGGCAGTGGTAGGCTGAAACATCTACCTCCATATGGCTTGCACATTCAGTATTGAGGCGTTGGTGTCCATCGGATCATGATGTGACTGTCACCACAGCCAGGCGCCCGTAGTTCGTTATGGCTTGAAAGCACGTCCATGACCTTATTGATTCAGGCAACCCTATTCTTCTTGAAATGGACCTTCGCCGTGTCCAAACAAACCAGATGCCTGTTCTCCGACGGCCGTTGAGTGCAATTTCCAGGGAGGAACTGGACTGGTTCATCGTATCAGTTAGTAACCCACCATACCAAATATAGCACAAGTGGCACAACGGCTTGGCATAGAGTTTCAACTGGAAGCTTGGCTAAGACATACTTCGAATTGATCACCAGAAGAAGCAATTGGTGATTCCTTCAACCAAGTCTGTAACGGAAGCGTCAACTGCTGCCTGTTGACACGAGCAGCGGAGAAAACAGGCCGAAACACAGCCATCGTGGACCCTGACTTCGGCTTCCGGGGGCAGCCTGTGGAGTTTCCCAAAAGAGTAACTCCTCTCAAGCTCCCATGCCAAGCCTTGGACTATCAGATCGAACCAGGTACACGCTGTACAGGACCTACCGTTCCCTATTTACAGAATATCAAGCTCCTGCTAATTCAACCCAAATTATCTACCATCACATCGAATAGACCATGTCTGTGTTTATTTACTTCTGTTCTGGGGCGATGTTGTCAGCTTTACTACTTACGACCGGGACAGCCGAACGGACGCTTCCGCGGCTAGCAAACGCCACCGTGCGGCACGCATAGTATAGCTCGCCTTGCTATATGGGTATTATGAACATGAGACCTATACTTTGCAGACTACTCTAATCCAGCGCTGGAGACTTTTGCTTCGATGCTCTCAATCGAATCCAGATATAGGCACAAGGAAGGGAGGCTCCACCCGAGAGTCGCATTCACCCAAAAGCAAGTCTGCGCAGCCGATGAAAGGTCAGTCCGATCTGGTCTCATATATCCACTAACATGGATGAATCCTACATGGTGAATCATACTTCTAGACGCTGTCGAATAATGTGAATTCTGATCTAGCAGCTATACGTCCAGCGAGTGCAAGTTATTGAGTCGAAACGGAAACTTTTGTGTTGGATTGAATATATAACTCGTGTGAATGGATTGCCGAGGCTCAATAGTTTGTCCAACTCATATGCCTCCACCTCGAAATTACATCACCTCCTTTTCTTCTTCTTCTACCCTTGCGTCTTGCCCATCCGTCCTCCACCATCCAGCCCAAATTCATCAATTTCTCACTGGTAACTTTCTTTTCATCTCCTAGTCTCTAACTTCGGAGTGGGTGTCTCTGAGAACATCGCCAGCTGCGGACGACTATCGACACTGAATTGGAAACTGAAACTCTCTACTCCAAAACCCAGTCAGAAGCCATGATAGGAAGCTATATGGAGGCCCTCACTGGCCCAGTGGAGCCACTGGGACCTGGTCAGACCAGTTCAATGACAGAATAGCACAGACACCAAACGTCAGTGCTAGTCTTGCGTTCTATATCATATTCATTGGCACCTTAATTAGATTTGAGACGATAGAATAAGTCCCAAATTCCACATCCCGAGGAAATGGAGATGGCTTGAGCTATGTTCCATGCATTGTGCCGACCGTGACCTCGAGTCCTACACGATAGTTCGGCGTATCGCACACTTGCTTCAACGCCCCTCCCGGAACCAAAATACTCATTTGAAATAATCTCAGACTGGCAGGGTGTCTGTCAGGTATGCACGGTGCAGCCCAACGAGAAAACTACTCTTCCAATAGGACATACCTGCTTGCGCGGCTTTATTCAGGGGCGCGGGTCATAGCTCGGCACATCTCATTGATTCAGACTCAATAACCAGAGGGAGAGCTACTCTCTCCTCCCTCAGGCACAGAAATCCAACTTTGAATATTAGATGAAAAACAGAGCTCTGCTGTACGGGAAATGGCGCAGAATCACAGTTGTCTGCACTGCAAGGGCCAGTGGATTGAAGACGTGTGGGCAGGCCATATCGCTCTCAACAAACTAAATAAGGCTATGCTTGAGTAGGCTGAGTTGTGACTTATCAGAGGCACGCTTCTTCAAGATTTGTACGTCTGGCCTTGATGTAAAAGACTTTAGCGTCTTGGACTCGAGGTTAACAAAGGTCACTTTGAAGTACACGAAGTTGTTATCCAAGTCGGCCGTCTCGAAGTGATACGGCGTCGCTACATAACAACCTTCATACTTGATAACAATATAGTGTTGATAACAAGATGTATTCATCTATAGAAGCGCTCTGAGCAGAAGCATTCGGAATCAATCCTATATTGATAGTAATGTTAGTTATCTTTCTTGTGGGAGCAAGAAGCCTATTTTGAGATGCAAGTATACACATCAGCAATGCTAACTTTAGAAGTATATCGAAGGTAGTTTTGATATATACTCGTGTTATTATATTCTTGCCTCATCTTCAAAGAGGTCATATGTAGTACTACAACGGCTCTAAGAGATAGTTCAGCGGCTAGAGGTCTAAGGATGGTGCGGATCACAGAAGGATGTATCAATACATAGAAGGGCTACAGTGGTCAAGGTATCGTGAACAATTAGAAGCACAACCTCGCTGTCATCACCGGGCTCTAAGCCACAATGTCCAAATGACGAAGAGCCGCAGTTTGAGATGCGAAGAAATACCATCACAAGCCATAAATTCTCCCCGTTTTGAATCCCGAGATAACGTGCGATTGGTGTAGATATCGTCTCTTGAATGGTCTCGGCGATGGAATACATTCTGGTATGCGCAAAGTAAAGACATGTCAAGATTCTGCGCAATTCTCCGAGTTCTTAGAAG